ACTTGGTTAATGGTGAAAACATTGAAATTCTCCGGGGTCGTTAGGGGGGGCGTGAGCCAAAAACAAAACAAACCCTCACCAATGGGAGGCTTCCAAAACAAACCCTCACCACGGAGCCATGGAATGCTTCGACCCGAGCCACATGAAACCGTCCGGTTCCCAAAAGCGGTCCGTGTCCGTCGTTGCTCGACGCCCAGACGGAGCTGTGGGACCTCGGCTTTGTGACTCCACCCACCTTGGTTGGGAGCGCCAAGTCGGTCGTTGGGATGGGCGTTGGGCTGCCAAGGCAGTCCCACTCTGCCAAGGCAGATCCAAAACTGAGTCGGTTCACATCCCTGGGAGTCCCTTGTGTTGATCTCTCAGGTCGGACCCTCGGACCTCCAGAGACCTCTAGACCTCCCAGTCTTTTGATGTTGATGCCTTGGTGGACGTGACTGCACTCGCTCTGGCACAGCGAACCCTGGTGTGAGAATGCCATTTGCTTCGTGGCCAAGGAGCTTCTCTCCGAGAAGGTTGAGAGCTTCAGATGAGGACTGCTCAGATAAGGATCTTCAAATCAATTTGCAGGAATCAAATTTAGGGCGTTGCTCCTCAGAAGACTCTGCTTGAGTGGACACTGCTTGATTGACATCGGATTTTGGCTCATTTGTTGGGGCCACGTCCTCCAGGGCCACGTCGACCGAATATTGTTCCCGATGTCACCCACATGGTTAGGGCTCCCTGGAAGATGGGTTTTCCTCTACTTTCAGGGTGTAATTCTTTGGGCCAAGTTCTCCAGGCACCCATCGCTATTAGGTTGGAGGCCATCGCTAGTAGGTTAGAGGGCATCGCTAGTAGGTTGGAGGGCATCGCTAGTAGGTTGGAGGCCATCGCATATGTGATGTCTCATAGCTCTTTGTCATCACGTGCCCAAGGAGATCGCCGTTGTTCAGCGGATGACCATGTGCTGCAAAAGGGTGGCCTGTTCGATGTAGATCACGGAGTCAATCATTTCAGTACAACCACGAGGCAATGGGAGAACTTTGCCCTGTTTGATAGCTTGACTTGGTTTGTACCCAGAGTTTAGTTTTGCCGTGTCAGCTGGTCAGCAACTGCCATGCATGAGCCTGTCCGCGCAGCTACTCCTTGCTCAGAACGTGAAAGTTGAATTGAATTTTACCAGCAAGGTCTACCGAGTCTACTGCGCTAGCTAACAGAGCAACGAGAGAAATGACCTTTGAGCTGGAAAAGCTGCGCTGCATCGTTTTCCCGCCGAGATCCAACTCTTGACAACTAAAATCCTTAAGACCGAAAGGTTGTGAAAGCACACTTGCCTCGTTTTCTTGCAAGTTACTGCCGAGAACTGTCTGAAAACACCTTCACAAATCTGAATCCAAGAGGTGCAGAAGGTGCCCAGAAAACCAACCTGTTTTTTTGACTTCCCTCTACAGTAAATAAGGTTCTCTGGATCTAATGTAGATACTGGTGAACATGGCCAAAGCCATGGCAGCATTTGCCGAAGGCTGCGGAACGCGGAAACGAAGCTGCGGCTTGTCCAAGCTTGGTTGTAAACTCGCTGAAGAAGCAAGAATGAGACACATGGCCAGATGGCTAGAGGCGTCGTGTCGCTCTGTTAAGAGCCCATACATCCTCGACTTCAAAACATGTCCAAACACATCCACATGTTTCTGAATGCTCCACTATACATGTAGGTATCACGGTGAATTGCCGCCAGAACGACTGTTTCAGATGTTTCAGAACTCCGAAATCCCTGTTTCACCGGTCCCGCCGGGACGTCCGGAGCGACCTCCGACCGATCGAGCGAGCGACCGTGGGTCGGCAACGGTCGTTCGATGGTGGGAACAAAGCGTCGCTCGTAGGGCGTCCTGCCAAGCTGCCCAGGTGCGTTTTTCTTTTTTGGGGCCGGGGAGGTGTGCTTGTTTTTGCAGTGATGTGGTGACTTAACAGTCACATTGACTTCACTCAAAGCACTGCTTTTGTGATTGCTTCGTTCATTTGTTTGTTGATTCTTGGAGGATGATTCCTTTCCAGGACATCCAGATCCCCTCGTCCGTGGTTTGGTGGTTTCTTCCAGAATGGAACCTCGATCCCTTTTCAGCCGTCCGTCCCAGAGACCCACCGACGAGGCGCGAGCTGAAGCTGCCAGAGATGTGTGGCTCCTCAGAGTGGCTGCGAGCAGGGCGGTCCTTTTCGATGAACGGACCAGGGTAGTCCTAGAGAGTACGGTTGGTTTCCTGAGGAACTTATGGAAAACATGTTCTCTTAAGGAAACAGATCTCTTTATGTTGTTTTGGTGTGTTTGTTGCGTTGTCCAACCTTTATATAAATATAAATATATTGTATATGCATGTTTTCATGCTGTTTCTTTGGTTGAGACTTTCTGCAAAGGGTTAGACCTTTGTGAAGGTTCCATGGCTCAAACAAGATGCGTCCATTGGGGGGAGGCAAAAGCATTCCACTAATGGCATCCCATTCGTTCATAAGTTTCTCTCCCCCACTTGAGCCACTTGACCCAAGGAGAACGTTGTTTAACCGTGTTGCCTTCATTTTCACTACTGAGCGAACGTGTGTTGTGGGGCTCAGACATCCATCAGATCCGGCAAGAATATCAGATGCCATGAACGGAAGAAAAAACGAGAACATCACATGCACCGTTCAAAGGCTTTTGACTCCTTTTGTTACGCGACTTCTACCTACCTCTGACCTCGTTTCGGCACAACTGAGCACGCTTGAGCCTTCACGTGGAGGATTGAAGCCCTACGGCAGCTTCGCACCAAAAAGCCAGCGGATAATCAGCCGGAATCCCAGGCAATGACTATGTTGAGGGAGGATAGATTGGAACACAGGCTTTTAGAGCCAGAGTCTTTGTTTTCTGTCAATCTGCTAAAGCCGCGCCGCTTGCAGCCGCAAGCGCGATCGGAAGACGTGCCTTCATCCTTCTTGGTGGGTGAAGATCTTGCTGTGCCGGACCAGGATGGTGTCCTTGAGGGAGCAGGACTTGGACCTGCTGATCACCAAGGCACGCTGCTGACCCGCTACCTGTCACTAGCTCGCGGTCCCGGAATCATTCTTACTCCTCGAAGCCGTTGTGCTGTGGGTTCGCTCCCTTTTTCGGCAGCACTTTGCAACCTTGCTTCATTATTTCTTGTGAACGAACAAGACATCCGTTCGAACGAGCGAGTTTGGTGCCTTTTTGCCTTGCCTCAACTGGAGCCTTGAAGGCCAGAAGTGTTTTTGCAGACCAGCCAATGCTGCTGGAGCTTGATCCTCCAATGCAGGCAGCTGTGAAAAAGCATGAAAAAGCATGAAAAGCACCGGAGTCCTGCTGGAGGCTTTTGATGCGTTCACGACCACATGTGGCCATGAGTCAAAACGTTTTGGTATGGAACATGTACTCTTGAACATCTCGTTCCATACCCTACCTGTGGAACAGCATGTCTGCTCGCCGTTCCATACCCATCGTTCCATAATGTTCCATACCTATGGACTCCTAGTTTCCAATTGTTCGAGGTTCAATCAAAACGCGCGCTTTGCTTGCTGAAATACATTTACCGTGAGAAACGGGACTGAGATGACACGTCAGGTTTTTTGGTACAATTTGTTCCATGCCCCCGTTCCATACCTGTTCCATACCTTATGGAACAAGGGATCCGTTCCATACCCTATGGAACAGGAAGGTGCGCGATGTTCACCTGAGACCCGGGGTTTTGACGCACACCCATGTCACAACTCTGGAGATCAATTCTTCCTTTTTCCAGCTGACTGTTGAGCCAAGCTCAACAAACCAAGAAGCCCATCTCGCGTCAACTTGCGCTGCTGCTCATACAGAAGGGCTCATTTCGGAGGGACCAGTAGAAGAGGGTAGATGAAGAAACCGTTCCTTCTCTGATTTGTAGAGGCTTTTGATCTTCCCCCGCTTGAACCTTCGTTGGACGGCTGTTTTGACAGGTGCCGGTCAGACCGTTTCCTCTCGCACGTCAGGTGGTGGGAGACGTGCATGGACAGTACTTCGACCTGTTGGGGGACCTCAGATTGGCCGCCCGCGGGCGCGCTCCACCGCGCGGGCTCCGAGGCTGCGAATCTTGGAATATGGCGGAGATCCCGGGCAGCGTCCAAAGCCGAGTGAGTGATCCGGGGCAGCTGAACTTGAACCGTGATCCGATCGACCGACGACGATTTTTGAGGAAACTATTTGTTCCTGGGAGACTATGTGGACAGGCCCTCGGAAGAGGGACGCTGGAGATCAGGAACCTTTGTGATGGAGGGCGTACCCCAGTAAGCAAGAAAAAAAGACATGATAGAACGCACAGAGATGATAGCTCACATATTATCAAGAGGTGTAAAATATGGTAAAATTGTGTACAACATAAATACGACCAACACGATGTAAACCGACACCTGCTGTCATGGTCGTATTCTCTGTCACTTTGCGTGTTCCTCTCCCCGGGCCAGGGGCAAAAACTCCATCGAGTGCGTCTCCTTGCTGTTCGCGTACAAGGCCCCTTGGCCTAAGCCGGGACACGAAGGGGATAGGTTGGGAGGTCCCAAAGGTCTTCCCTTTTTCATGAAACTCACAGGGTATTTGAACATCAGTTGGGTGGGTCCCCGTGTCAGATGAGACACCCGACTGATGTTCAAAACACAGTTCACAACAACATCACACGTCAAACGTGGGAGATCGTGGGAGGAAAACTCTGGACTCTGAAAACCCGCAGGTGCTGCACCCCGAAAACTTCTTTCTACTTCGTGGCAACCATGAATGCGTGCCTGGACTGCAGTCAGGTCTCTGCCGCCTCGGTGCCTTCGCCGAGCGCCGAGCTGAGGCTTCGATCAACAGGATCTACGGTGCCGAGCTTGGCGGAGGGCGATCCTTGCGACCAGTGACCAGTCCACACCGAGCGACCTGGGCGAAACCAGGCTTCTTCGATGAGTGCAACCGGCGCTACACCGTGAAGCTGTGGAAGACCTTTGGCGATGCCTTCAACTGGATGCCTGTCGGATGGCGGTCGGTTTTTGGCGTGAACGGAGCGAAGTCCCGGTTGAGCGATTGCACTTCAGACATCGGTTGGATAGTTGTTCTTTCTTAAAATAAGAGGCGCAATAGAAGGGACGACATGAAGTGACAGACCGCAGGGAAGGACTTACTGTATCAATGTCAAAACTCTCACGGTCCTCCAAATCCAGAAAATGCTGTCTTCTTTTTTTTCAGGTGTGTGCATCCATCGATGACCGGATCCTGTGCATGCATGGTGGCTTGTCCCCAGAACTGGAAGACTTTGATCAGATGCTCGGCGATGGACGACATGGACGGAACCAACGAAGAAATATGAAGAAATCACGGAACATCTGTGGGTAGATGGGGCTACATCAGGGTACCAGGGTCAGCCAGAGTCTTTTGAGACATAAACTGGATCTGCCGTCCCGTTTCCCAATTTTGAGAGGTTCCTCGTGGTTTTCACAGTCACTGGGGGGCACTGGTTGTTGGTTGTTGGCACTGGAAATCCCAAGCTAGTAGCAGACCCTCCTGTGGTCACAGGTGGAAGGGTCTCAAAACGGGAACCAAACGAAGCACACCCTGAAGCACACCCTGGTATAAAGGAAGAATAAACCATCACCAAATACCAACAACAAATACCATCAAATACCCTGTGAGTGTCCCAATAAGTATCCTGACGTTTTCCTGTCTACAGCATCATCCATCCAACCTGGGCCACCAAGGATACGAAGCATTCAGCGTCCTGCATCGCCAGCCTGCTTTGTTGGGATAGGTTTTTGAGTTCTATACATCTAAGAATCATATAAGATCCCAAGAGAGTGAGCCAGGCGAATGTCGGGGAAGTTGGGCTTTTGGTCGATCTCCTGTGGTCTGAGCCTAAGACTTAATCAAGATTTGCCCAGTACTGCTCAGCCAGCACCCCATCACTGCGAAGCAAGGCTCCGCAAAAGAACATGAGGTCTCAAGGTGTTTTGCAATGTTTTGCCAAATTGAAACAAGGTGGAAGGATGTTGAAGGTGGGGCCCAGAGCATCCCAGGTCTCACAGGTCTTAGGGTGTTTGCAAATGGCTTGCCCAAGGTCGGATCCAAACCCAAGCGTTGAGCTTTGGGCGGACAATGATCGAGGAGTCTCCTTCACCTTTGGTCGCTTGGGCGTATGATGCGTTGGAAAGTGTACATCAGACGTAGATCGAAGGCCGGGGCAAATATATAAGCAATGGCTCATGTACGTAGGTCAAGAAGATTCTGTTCACCCCGACTGCCCCAAAAACACGGCGGCCAGAACCTTTTCTCTACAGCCAGTCGCCACGCGACGCCATGCATTTTGGGGATCTCGCAGCGAGACACAGCCGAGGCCCAAAGGTTCTGAACACCTTCCTGCAAAGACACAACTTAGTCGCTGGGATGCAAGGGCTCCTTTCAGGGCTCGGAATGTCGTGGCAAAAAGACATGTGAAGACCTCAAAGATCAAAAAGGATATATGTGTGTATATATATATATATATGTGTGCAACATATAAGAAGGATATTCACTCATAGCGGATATGCGTTGTCGTCGTCCTCCTCCTCCACCACCACCATCATCACCATCACCATCATCATCATCATCATCGTCCTCGTCCTCGTCCTCGTCCTCGTGGTCGTTCTCGTCCTTGTTCTCATCCTCGTTGTCCTCCTCCTCATCATCAGCAGCAGCATCATCTCATTGTGTGTGCGCACGTTATTTTACGTTATTTTGTGGTATGTGTGTGTTCAGGTGTGACTCACGAGATTCTGCTTTGATTTGTTGGCACAACAACATATTATGAGCAGAGTGGAAAGAAGTAGAGTTGACCAGGACCTCGTTTGTCGTGCCCATCAAGTTGTGGAGGACTGAATCAACAGCAGACTGAAGCTGAAATGAGAACTCAATGAGAGCAGGGAGTAAGAGATGCAGGCCAATGACACAACAACGATCATTTTTGTTCGTTCACCTTCGAACTTCACCTTTTGGGTTTTACCATGGCAGTCAGCCATGGTCAGCCACATTTTGTGGCAAGTCCTTGAAGCAGGACGGATACGAATTCTTTGCTGGTCGAAGGTTGGTGACGGTCTTTTCGGCTCCCAATTACTGCAAAGAGTTCGACAACGCAGGTGCACCTGCTGCCAAATTGAGCTGTAAAATCTTTCGTTGTGTCGATCTCCATTTCTCGGCGTGCCATCAGATACATCAACACATTTGCAGGTGCCTTGATGACCATCGATCAAGACCTGAGAATCTCGTTCCACGTTCTGAAGCCAAATTTGGGTTAATCCAAGAAAAGATCCGCCGTTTCACAGAACCAAATTTGAACGAATATGGAACTATAATATGCAATTTAATTTTATATATAAATATATATATATTCTAATAAAAAAAATATATATTAAATTAATTTCCAAATATGTTTATTGTAATCACGAAAGAAAATTGTTTAGGGTATATTTTGAGTTTGTTTTGCGAAATAAGTGTCGATTTTTTCCGGATTAAATAATTGATTGTTTAATGTAATATTCTTTTCTTTTTTTTGTGGAATTGATTTTTGAATAAATATTTTTTTCTCCCCCTTTCCGGGGAATTGATTTTTTTATATCGATGTCCTTTTCGTTTCTTTTTCCTTTTTAAGTTTAATTTTTGGAGAATTATTTCGTTATGTTTTTATAATGTTAGGATATTGAAATATTTTTGAATATTTAGAATGCATATGAAATTTTAATTATGAATGGTGTTTGTCGAGGGAATATGAATTTAGAGTTTGTTTTGTGGATTTTTTTTTTCTTGGGGAATGTTTTCGTGAATTTTTGTAATTTTAAGAACATTTGATTTTTATGATATTTCGATTTAATGTTTATTGATAATTTTAATTATGGGGTCATGTTTTTTTTAGATATTTTTTTATTATTGTAAAATATATATTTGAATATTTAAAATATATATGAAATTATATTTATGAAAGGTCGTTTCCGAGGAAATAAATATTTAGGATTTCTTCCGAGGAAATAAATCCGGATCGAATTGCTATCTTCTTAGAATATTATTTTGATAAAATTCTTTTTTGCATTATCGATGTAAGATGATTTCGTTGTTGCAGAATTTTGTTTTTACTTCTCGTTTTTTCTTTATTTTTCGTAGTTTTGTTTTTTTTAATAAATATATTAATAGATATAATATAATTAAATTATATGTATATATTTAATTGTTTTCGAAATAATTTTCGATTATTTATCGATATAAATTCGATAATAATTATTTATTAAGGATATTTTTTGAAAATCATTTTTTTTATGGTGAATTTATTGTAATTCTATGGGGTTCGCCTCTAAATTTCTTTAAACATACAATTATATTTAAAATTATGGGGATGGTAAACGGTAAATATGAAGGTATGTTAATTGCGCAAATTGTGAGGGTTGTTTAATGCGTTTTTTTTGAGGGTTTGTTGAATTGTTGGAATTGTTGTTATTGGTGTTGTTAGATTTCTGCAATTATCTTTAATTTTTTATTAGTATAAATTTGAGTTGATTTAAAAGATAGGGATATTGGATGGATAGATGATTAAAAAATGGATCGTCGTTTAGCGTAGATTTAGCGCCAATTTAATGCAAAAATATCTTGTTGGATGTTTATGTTTCTTGTTTGTTTGTCTTCTTCTTATTGTGTAGTCTTCTTTTTCTTGTTTGTGTTTTTTCTTTTTATTTGTTTTGGTTATTCTTTTTTTTGTTATCTATTATGTTTTCTTTTTCTTGTTTGTTTATTTTGTTATGAAGAGACCTAGCGTTAACCTAGCGCTAATCTAGCGCTGCCTTGTTGAATCACCATAATCTGTTGGGGGACTTCTAAACGAAGACTTAAAATTATATTTCCAATCTTAAAAAATTATATTTATCTATATTTTTTGAATAGGATTTTTTGAATGCAATCCATATAAATTTGGAATTATGTTGGAAATTAATGTATAATATATATATATATTAAATAATTTATAATATAGTTATTAATGCAAATATGATTTAAAGGAAATATTTTTTAGTTTTTGATAATAATTTCTTTGAATTCGTTTTGTTTTTATTTTAGATAATAAATTATTTATATATATTAATTATATTGAATTATTAAAGGATTTTTTGAAATATTATATTATTTGATAAATATAAATGATTATATAAATATAATAGATTAATATAATTATTATTTTATATATAAAATTGATTTTTTGATTTTTTAAAATATATCAATATAATATATATATATATAGATTTAAAAGCTTATATTCGTATCATAATATATGGATATAATAATTTTAATATTATATGTTTTGTTGATATTGTTGTTCTTTGATCTTTATAGCTATATTTTTATATATGATAATTGTTGTTTGGATTATTATATATCCAATTGTTTATTGTCTTTTTTCATCGGAGGGATTGTAAAATATCCTTGGAGATGATTATTTGTGGGGGATTTGGCGCGAGAATTTCTGATTGTTTATTGATCGGGAGGAATATAATTTTATTCGATTATATGAGGTATGGATAATGATTGGTTTAGGCTAAATTCAGTCCCCAAGTCAAAAGATTATTTCCATGCAATGAAGGAGGGCCACCCATAATACCTTGTCCGTACACAATGGGACATGAAGTCCCAAATGATTTTTTTTTTTAAATAAGGACCCCTCGACGACCTTTAGAAATGCCTCGAAACTTGTGGGGACACTCAATTTTTTCCTGGAATGCTGGCAATGGATTATTATATGATGAATGGATGTTTTGGAATGATTAATATGTGTGGTCATGATCTATTCATTCAGAAAATTGGTTGGATATTTAATAATCAATGGTAGATGCCCCATTGGATTTGTATCCATAGTATAGGCTCCAAAAATCTCACAGCTGCTAATGATCAATGTATCATACAATGGATGTTTTTCCAGGTAGGCACCCACCAGGAATTCGCATAAGGGAGGACATATTGAGCTACATAAGCGTCATCACCTTCAAGTCAAATTGGCAAAAGACGAATTTCAATCCTGGTGGCGAAAATTTTTCTCTACCAAATCACACCCTTTCCATTGGGATCAATCAACACAAATATGAATAAATTCATTCTACGACAACGCATGCAGATTGGCAACATCGCGCTTAGCTCACACCAAGCAAGCCCCTTCTACCAGAACGTCTTAGTGCTCTCCATCAAATGGTACGACCACGCAACCCTACATGGCCCGGACACCGTGATCTACATCGACTACGATGAAGTGGAAGCCATTGCCACCATCATCATCATCGCACCACCCCTCTTCGATATCATTGAGGATCATTGGGCCCAAGCATGGGACAAGATGGATTACAATGTGGCGAAAGAAATCGCAGACAGCGCAGACACTCAGAGCAAAGGATCCGGAAAAGGAAAGGCCACTCAGTAGACCAGAAGCAAACCATACATTTTGCAAGATTTTCCATGATAATTTCGCCTCGTCAAGAAAAAGACAGCTAATATAACAAGGTCTGAACCACGGAAAAGAAGATCAAAGGATGGATGATTGACACGAGCCGTCTTTATTATCGCTATCGGACCGCAGAGATTGCAAAGCATGCCCTCACGGGCCGTCGCTATTAGCCGCAAATACAATCACTAACACCTACACGCCTTCAGCTTTGCAAGGCGGGCCGGAACAGCCGCGGGAATCACCTCAGCGGAACCGAGGTGTTTCCCACAAATGCTTAATGAATGCCAATAACGAGGGAAAAAGAATTGCAAGCTGCAGAGATCTTAGATCGATCACGGATATAGAAATAGAAAACAGACGCCAAAAACGTTCACATAGACAACTCTTCAGATCCTTCAACACAGCGTCCCAGCATTGCACGGGTTTGGCTCACCACGCAATGTCTTCACCCAGGGCTCTGGAAATCTCCGACAAACCACCAAAACCTATCAATTATAGAACACGCAGAAAGCTTTTCCATCAATTTAAACAAACACCGCAGAAGCAGAACCGAGAGTCACTACAGAAATGTCACCCCAAATTTGCCTATCACACGACTTTTCGCATCGGTAAGCTCAACTGTAAAGAGCTAAAACCCAATGGAAGTGATGTCGAATAACAGCTTTTGATTAACGTCATGAGAAAGCACAATATCGATATCCTTCTCCTCCAAGAAATGCGCATCAACACTAATAGTTCTGAAATCATCAAGGGCTGATTTTTCTATATTCGACGAATATCATTGACGAACAAAGTAAAAACATTGAACATATGATAAATATTGTGAAAGGGAGAACTAAAAGCAAAGGTAAAGGACGTGACGCCAAAATGCACAACCTGCAATTGACCGAGAATATCATAGCGTTGCCATTCTTTTAAATCCGATTACCAGATTGTGCATGACCGATTTCAAACAATTAAGTGATCAAATTATATCGATATCTTTATGTATTGTTGGCCCTCCAACCCATATCATTAATTCTTACGTTCCTCAAAGCGGGATTGATACCCAACAGAAAGAATTGTTCTATGACATGCTTGAAAGACATTTCAACAAATTCCCCAGAACACATGTCAAATACATCCTTGGCGATTTTAATGTTCGCCTTCACAGAAAATGCGACCACCTCAGACCTTTGGACGTGGGTGCCAATACCTGCGCAATGTTTCCGACGAAATGATGGAAAACAGACGTTTATTCTTAAATTTTTGTGCAAGCAATGACCTGTTTGTCATGAACACTTGATTCCAAAACCAAACCCAGGCATCAATTTACCTTTCGAGAGCTTGTTGCACACCATGAACCTCCTTGGGACGCCAATAGATTTGTTCAATTGGACTTCGTGCTCGCTCCTGCCAAATGTAAAAATTTTATTCACGCCGTCACAACCCGTACTCAAGTTTTCACTGACTCTGATCACTATATTGTTACGATTGATTATTGAATAAAATTGCAAACTCTGAAAAAATGACGCGCATCCCAAAATATCGGTCACCTATACACAAACAGAAAATCACTTTCAATGACATACTTGCACGTGCCCTAAACGCAGAAATGCAACTGAACAGATTGATATTAATACCATTTTGCAGGGCATCACACACACTGCCAGCAATTTGCTTTGCTGTCATTTACGGTATCGCAATTAAACATTGAAATCAAAAGAAATACAAAACAGGATAAACGAAAAGCACTCCTAAACACACTGGAATAATGTCGCAATTCGAAGGAAAAATGGGAAGGTCCTAAGTTACTTAAAGCAAAAAGAATATTAAATTTTATCAAAGTTAAAAGATAGACATGGTAATAGGGTCGGTTTTAACCACCGTTCTGAAGCTA